TCTCCAAAGCAGAAAGGTGAGCCGTCTGTGTCTTTGTCAGCTTCTATGGCAAGATTGCAGAATGCTCGGGTAGACGGTGCGATGACGTCGCCAGCTGAAGAGTCGGCCCAGCCAGCGAGAGCGAAGAAGCGACCTGCTGCTGCTGCTGCGAAGGTTGCTTCAAAGAAAGCAAAGCCTCAGACCTCGAAGGATGATTCTGCCAGTTCTTTTGTTTTGAAGAAGCCGGCAATGGCTTTGAAGCGACCAGCTGGCTCCAAGGACGCAGAGAGGAAAGCCATCCTTTCCAAGGTCCCAGCAGCTGTGCGGAAGCAGTTTGCGAATGGCTGCTCCAAATGTCGCTACACGACTTGCACTCCCAGTTGCTGGCGTGGTCGTGGCTACTTTTGAGGTTGACAGACACATCAGCGGGATTGCGCGGTTGAAAAGAGGAAATGTTCAAGGATATCTTGGCAAATGGTGTTTGGATATATATATATATATATATATTCTTGCGGCGGTTGTCCGTCCTCTTTCTAGTTTCTAGCAAATAGGAAACAAGCTGCAATGTATTCGATACAAAGTATATGTTTGTACTTCATATGTATTATGTTACACGTGTATATATATATATATGTATGCACGTGAATCATGATTCATGAAATCATACATTGAGGCGGTGGTCTGCCTCCTGTGTGGTGGTGTATTTCCGGTGTATGATGTTTGCTGTTGCATGTTTCTTGGAAAAATTGCTTGTGTGTTGGCGAACAATGCAGCGTGTCTTCTTTGGACGTGTATAAATGGGATCGATGTCGGGTGTGTTCATTCGCCGCATTGGCACAGGTGCAGCAACAAAGACCCCGCATGAGCAAGAGTTCCATGTTCACTGGTTTGGTGAAGCGTCTTGTTCTTTACTGTGTGCCAACATTCAAAGAAAGAGACATGAATGAAGTGCTCTCAGAACAAACAGTTCTGCCTGCAAGTTTCTCGCAGCCATGGCGGACGATGATGATACGCCAACAAGTGTGCTTCAGCGAGAAGTGCGCCAACGTTATATACGTCTTTTAGAAGCAGAAGGGCTCAGACAGGTGCCTCGGGGCAAAATGTTGTTTGAATGCATCAATTGATAATCATAAGTTAAAAAATGATCCTGCAGGACTATGATCCGGAATGGTCGGAGACAGAGCCTTCAGAGGAGACAGTTCCGGAGCTTACGGAAGATGCTGCATCACATGCACAGGCGCTGCCAGAGGCAATCAATGCAAGTGTTTCTCCAGGGCCGATGCCAACAGAGAACCCAGAGATATCCGAACAACACAGAGCAGAGATCGCTTTTCTGCTGCAACAGCGCCTGCAAGGAGAGTTTCAAGCTGGGACTCCTGTAGATGCAGGAGCTGCTGGGCATTTAGGTGCATATGCTGCTGGCTTCCGGTTGCAGAATCCTTTTGGTCAGCCGGCCACTGCTACGAGGTCCACGGTGAACATGTCTCGTACTGTGTGGCGGCAAGGGTCACAGGTGGCTGAGTGGTGCCTGAGGGTTCCTGGTGTAACCGCACCGACAGCTTCGCAGGTACCTTGGCGTCTACGTGCAAATCTGGCTGCCACCGAGTCACTGGACTTTGGCTTGGGACCTGTCGTCCGGGATGCGTGTGTTAATACTGGAAACTCTGATTTGCAGAGGCATGCTTCTCCTGAGATGCATGCGACTACTATCTCTTCATGTGCTCCAGCACTTCGACCTCGTGGACAAGTTGTTTTGCCACCTCGGAGACGAGCTCCACTTGCAGATGAAACCAATGCAACACCAGATGCTGATGGGTTGACTTCGTTGCCTCCTCGGCCGCCAAGGGGCTTGCCGATGCCAAGGGCGACACGTCCACGAGCAGGTCCATACGATTTGCCTGGCCCTGATAGCTCCAGAGAAGAACGGGCCAATGCAGCGTCTGCCTTAGGCATGAGCCGCAGGCACTACGAAAGAGTGGTGTTAGGCATGGAGAGATGACAGATCAATCTACTGGCCTGAAAACATGGAGAGCTCCTTCCTGCACTCATCACACCTGCAGATTTGTTCATGTTTTGGAAGATTACTTGTTACTTATGGTTGAAGGTGGTTGTCCACTGTATAGAAAACGAACTGTCTACATATATGTTCTTCTTGAAAAGTCGTTTGTTTCCCACATGTGTTCTGGCATACTGGTGGTTGTCCACTTAAAGAGATATATATATATGCAAATGTGTGGTTGTCCACCTGTGTATATATATATATATATATACATCTACACTTGGCTCTAGCCAAAGATCTTGGTGGTTGTCCACCTTGGTTAAGTATCAGATGCTATAAAGCATATATTGAATGTGTCTTTATTGTTGTGTATATATACATCGTACGTTCGAAAAAATCCAGGTGGCTGTTGCTGATACTTACTTCAGCTTGCTGTATGTCTGATCGCATCGCGTGATCGCAGCCCCTGCACGGGAACGAAGCATTTTCCATGTCAGATGATAGGCACGTCACGTGACGATAGGAGATGGTGTGGATGCAGAAAATCATCAGCTCCAGATGGAAGAAGATTCCCAAAAGATCCTTCGAGTCACCGCTGGGTTGGACATCCATTTCGGCAACTGATGCGCTGACCATGGACTCCTTCGGTGATTATCACCTGGCTGAGAAAGCAGTTTTGATTTTGAGCCCAAAAGGTCGACCTGTGTCTTTGCAGCTTCAAGACCACCATGGAGATGGTTTCCTTTTCGTGCCAGTGATGAAGAGGAAATATGGCGTGCTCTTGAAAGAGACGCGATCGAAGCCACTGGCAGCGGACAAGTGGATCTTCAAAACGCCAGAGCACAAGACGCGTCCATATTATCAATCGCCTTTGTGAATATTTCACCACACAGATGCCTGTCGGGAGCGTGCCGTAAAAAAAAATCCGGTTGCAGTTTTAGCTTTGCTTTTTACCGGTTGTCCGGTCTAGTCTATATCTACCGGTTGTCCGGTCTATTATATATAGGTATATACGGTATATGTTATATTCTCTTTGGGTCTTAATCTGTGTTTCATGTTACCCTGTGTCCCACTGTGTCCGCCTGTGTCCCCCTGTGTCCCCCCGTGTCCCCCCGTGTCCCTCGGTGTCCCCTCATGTCCCCGCAGTGCTGGGACACATGTCCCCGCATGTCCCAGCATGTCCCCGCAGGTACCAACACCTGTTGGGACACATGTCCCCTTGTGTCCCCCGGTGTCCCCCGGTGTCCCTCCTTATCCTCTCACCCCGATGTATCTGTGTAGCATTTGTGCATGGCTTGCAGTAGATATCTCCCTTGGATCCTTTGGAAGCCATTTGGAACATCACAGTGTGTCCTCGCTGCGTGTATTGCGTAGTCCTAGCATGGCAAATGTGGATGAGATGCCCACTATGGAGGCAGGCCAGGCGGCCGAAGACGATTCGCAAATGGTGGAAGCCGAAGAAGCAGATGGTGATCAGACAGCACTGTGTTGCAAATGTGGCCACCCTCTGACCATGGAGAATTTGGCCATGCCCAAAAGTGCTCGAAGCCAGCAAGGTGTTTGCAAAGCCTGTGTGGCGGTCACCAAGATGCTGCAACGCAACTTGGGTGAAATCCCTGAGATGCTCGACGCAGCTGAGCAACGGAACTTTTTCAAACGTTGCTTGGAACTCCGTGGTGGTGATGGCAACCCTTTGCGCTACAAGCAGGTCCGAACAGAACTCAAGCAAAGCATGGTTCTGCGAACTACACACACCAGGATTGAAAACAGTGGTGGCACGTACCAGCCGCTGTCCTGGTACGAGAAGCAAGGCTATTGTACCGATGATATCGAGAGCAAAGCTGACTGCAAGGACAATTCTGTGCTTGGTCCCTGTTACTTGGTGCCATTGCTGTCCATCAATGAAAGCACGGCCAGGGAAAAGGTGGAAGAGACTTTGGTGCAGATGGAGCGCCAGGTGAAGCGCATGCGCCTCCCAAGTGGAGCTGCGGGCACTGTTGCTGCCCCTGCGCCTCCTGAGGGCGCCATGGCATCGGTCGTAGATGCGTCTGCATCAGCAGGCCCTGTTCCGACTGCGATTGACTTGGCTGGTGAGCTCGTTGACTTACTGAGCGACAGCGATGATGAGGGCGACGGCAATGCTGGTCCCAAGCCGACAACTGCCAAGCAGCAAGCGGCCATGGAACGCAGAGCCAAAGCAAAAGCCCAGGCAGCTGCGAAGAAGCAAGCAGAAAAAGATTTCAAGAAGGTGGTGGAACTGTCCAACAAAGCTTTCATTGTTCTTCGCTCTCTCATGGAAAGGGAAACGAAATGCGAAGCCCAGATGGCCAAGTTCCAGCCCCCTTTGCTGAGTCCTCTTGTCGAAAAGTTCGAGGAGACCGTGCAGACAACCAAGAAATGGTACGAGGAGGCGCAGTCGGCCATGAAGAAGGCAACTGGTGCGAACAAGCCCAGTCTTGATGACATTTCCTTCAAGACTGCGAAGGACGTGCAGCAGCATGTCAAGGATGCCGATGCGATCATCAAGGACATCCTCAAAGCCATCAAGGAGCAGAAAAACGCTGCGAAGGCAGCGCCCTGAGTGATTTGAGTCTCATTTTTTCAGATCTTTGACCGACAAAGGATCCAATTTTGAATGGGTATCTATGTGTAGCGAACTGCTACGGTGACTAAACTCTCGACCATTTGTGCTGACATTGCCAAACAAATCTGCACAGTACGCCAGTCAGTCTTCCCAAGTTGATTAGGTCGTTTTATCTTTACAGTTATCCTCTCTAGACTCCACATGTCGTTGTCGAGCAACAATTATATACACAATAAGGTGTGCATATATATATATATATATATGAAACAATGGTGTGGTAGCTCACAATGATAAAATGATGTGGTTGTCCACAATGATAAAATGGTTGTCCACGATTAATGCAACAGTATTATGCACAGGCAAATCGCCATGCTATGATTTGCTATTTCGGCTATTCAAAGGACATAGACCTCGCACCTCTGCATCTGCTTTCTGCCCATGGCGTCTCCCAGGGCATACTCTGAGCAGCTTCTCGCCAAGGATGACTTGAATGCGTGCTTCCAGAAAGTTGCAGCAGCAAGGCCTCAGTTGCTGCGCGAGTTGGACTTTGACTTAGAAAATGCCAGAGAAGTCTTGGCGTGGTTCGCTCCTGTCTACTGCGACTGCAAGCCGCAGATGGAAGATATGGAGAAGGCCATCGCAACTTTGGCCGCATGGCGCGCAAGCGCCGGCAAGCTCCAAGAAGATTGGCTGTACAATGCCCAGGAGGCCACGGCGTGGAGCAAAGATACCATGGTCGAGAAGTTGCAGCAACTTGGGACTGGCATTGGCCGCAAAGGTCTCGAGCTGCGATCTGCAGTTCGTTGGTTGGATGCCATTCAGATTCACTGCGCTCCATACTTCCAAGATGTCTTCCTTGGAGCATCTGTGGCTTTGAAAGACTTGCAGCCTCACCTGGGACAAATTGAACGCATGCTGCGAACAGTTGTCGATGCGTAGATCTTTACGGCGATGTGAGACCATGAGGTGCTGAAAAAATGCGTTCTTGTCCGAGTTGGTGGCGATGATTCTTATATATTTCAAAAAATGATATAGGTTCCATAATATCCGGTAGTCCGGATTTATTTATGTATATACACATATATAGGTCCCATAATATCCGGTAGTCCGGATTTATTTATGTATATACACATCTATATATATATAGGTCCCATAATATCCGGTAGTCCGGATTTATTTATGTATATACATGTATATATATATATACACAATAATGAATATATATATATATATATATAGAGATTCATATATATATATATATATGCATATATAAATATATATATATATATATACATTGTGCATATTAAATAAATATATATATATATGTATGTATACATCTCTCTCTTTCTCTGCTATATTAGTTGGCACTTCACGTCTCTTCCACGGCATGTGGTCGTGCCTCATGTCAAAGCACATGTTCTGTCCACTGCTTTCAAAGTGGACACATGTCCATCATTTCTGCGAGTTTCACTCTCGAAATATGACATGGCAAAGAAAAAACAAATGCAGAGAGACAATACTAACAAGCCAGAGAAATCGCAGCAATTATATTCTTTAGTATCAGAATATATTCAGTATCGTACTTCCATCATCCTGGCCAAATGTTCTCCCTCGTTCGCTGCCATGACGGATCGCGAAAGCAAGCGTCGCAAACTGACTACAGCTTTGGCCTTCACCTCCCACAGAAACTTGCAACGACTTAGAAAACTCTTGGATGCGAAAGAAGATGCTGCACCAGGTCGTTCAAATGGATATGGCTGGCGAGCTAGTGAAGCTGTCTTGGAAAAAGCTATGAATTGCTATGAAAAAGTTTCCTTGCCTTCAACCGAATCTGACCATGTCCATTTCTACATTGGCAAGATTGAGCCAATGTTGCAATACATTTTGTGTGAAAGCAAGTGCTACAAAGAGAGCTTCGATATAGCATTCAGCAGCCACGACACTCTGGAGCTACTGCTCTATGTTGACGAGACGACCGGTGGAAATGTGCTAGCAACCGCATCTTCAAAACAATTTTATTTTGTGCACGTTGCAATCAAGCAGATAGGTCATCTCAGACTCGAAGAAGCGTGGCTGCCCTTTGCTGCCATTCCCGCCAGGGATCTGAAGTTGATTCGTGGGCAACTTTCGGCTGTGATGGCACTGATATGCCGATCGATTGACCAGCAAGACAGGCAAGGTGTTTGCGTTGGTGAAAAAAGTTTTGGAGCCAAGTTGTTCGCTTTGGTTGCAGACTATGATGCAGTTGCTAAGACCTTCGCTGCCAAAGGCGCAGCAGGTCTCAAACCTTGCTGCCTCTGCCAAAACATCCTCATGAAATCCAGCAATGTGCCAATGGCAGATGAATACTTCAAAAGCATAGCCTGTCCTTCTGTAAATGCCTTCCAACAATATAAGCACGAGGAATTGGTGGCGTGCTACGAGAAATTGCTGACAGAGACAAAGACGTGCACCCAAAAGTTCAAAGACCAGACTGAAACTACTTTTGGTTTTTCGCTTCTGGATAATGGCGTCCTAGCCTGTCACACGGCTAGACGAATGCTGACCATTGACAAGGTGGTTTTTGATTCCCAACACAATTACTTTAGCAACGGAATTGCTACATCCGAAATTTTGTTGATGCTCAGTCAATTCACAACATCCACTGGCTTGAGCCTTGCTGACATCCAACGATCAGTGCGTGAAGTTTCTTGGCGCTGTTCCGAGCGAGACTTTAGCTCGCCATCAGCGCGAAGTTTTTTGTTCGACGAACGGTTGTGGAAAGGTACTGTCTACAAGGGTTCCGCAACTCAACTATGGTATGTGATCCCACTGTTCAATTTTTTCTTGCAAACCTTGGGCAATGATCGAACCATGCCAGAGCTGCGAAGTTGGAACGCGCTCATGGACGTGTATGTGACCTTGAAAGCATTCCGACACGATGCTGGAGATCCACAAGAGTTAGCAAGCAAACAGAAAAAGCACCAGGAGCTCTTCGCTCATTTTTACCCAAACGAAGTCAGACCAAAACACCACTTGCGCCTTCACATGCCGAAGCAATATTCGACACTGCTCTACGTAGATTGCTGGTGCCTCGAAAAAAACATCAGAAATACAAGCATCATTTAGCTGATGCTCTACATCACCTGTACCAACGGGGAAATGGCGTCTCATCTCGTCAAGTTGCAGGACGCATGCTGCTGATGACGCGCGAAAAACTCATTGAAGAAAAAACTTGGCGATGTGTTTTGCAAGGTGCCGTCTACTCATCGAATGCTGTGCATCAAGCCGCTGGATTGCCATGCTCCATTGCCACAAAAATTCATACAGGACACATGGAACTAGCTCAAAATGATGTCTTCTTTGCCAAGCTGGCAGAACAGACCGTGTCAGGATTCATTGATTTCTTCGCAGAAACCAATGGCCAATACTTCGTGATCTATGAAGTCCTGCTCCCTGACAAACAGCCTCTGCACTTTGCTCGAAAATTTTGACGTACTGGTCAGCATGAAGCTATCCACTGTAGCCAAGAAACAAATTTTTGTCGTCCAGCCTGGTGGACGGTTGAAGACAACTCAGTGCTGTGCCTGTTGTAGAAAAAATTATTTCGCAGAACTGACTAAAAACTTCTTTTTTCCGTATTTTATATATGGTGGTCCATCAAAAGGAGATTTTTCCTGATTTTAATGATGGTTGTCCATCAAATAACAAATTTACACCTTTTTTAACACGTTAAGGGAAAAGCTCGTTTTCCACCTTCCTCAGAAGTTACGGAACTTATAACTTCTGTAAGTTGACTTATAACTTATTTATCTCTAACTTACATAACTTACTTATAACTCACTTTTAAGTGGCTTATCTACCGTAACTAACTTATAACTGACATAACTAAGCGGTAGCTCCCTGTATGAATCACCAACATAGGTTTCGCGAAAGATCAACATGGAGTTCGCGAAAGTTTCGCGAAAGTAACATTTTTATTCGCGAAGAATGGCCGTTTCTCGGATAAAGGAATTTTGATCAACCATCATATGTGTGTATTATATATGTATATATAGCCAACATGAAACCATAGTTGAAATTTAGCTACTTCGAGAAGCATTGTTCTCAGTGCTAAACAACATTAACCAACCATTTGTTTGTTTGCTTTGTGGTTTGTGAAATCCCAATTTGGGTAAGGTTAACCCCATTTTCTGGGTGGGTTAAATCACAAATATTTTACCGCTTCAATCATCATTGCAACTGGTTATAATACAACCACCAAATCAACCAACGTCACCATAAATCCAAATTTATCTTGAGCGTAACTCACAATGGTTGTTGGTTTAAGCATGTTTAAATTAAACCATCGTATGGTAAAGCTTAATTTGTGTTGATTAGAATCACCATCAATCTAATTTTTGTTGATCAAACCACATTTTTGTTGGTTTTTAAACCACCACAAATCCAAATTTGAGTTGGTTTAAAACCACCAGTCTACCATTTCTCATTGGAAGTCACATATTGTTAATTCTTGGGGCCGGCACCAGGATGGAGAGACCGTTACGGAAACGGCTTCGAGTAACTGGCAGCGGGGGTACCAAGGGAGCGGTAGAGCTGAGGTATGATAACTTACTTGGTGGTTAATTTCAGGGGCGGGAGGGACATCCTGCATTTTTTTCGGGTAATTTGGCTCTGGGGTTCGCCGAATAAGTAGGGTCTTTCTTTCCGCGGCTCGCTCTGGGAAAGTTTTCGACGCATTTATTTCAATATTTACTTGGTGGTTTCACCCCGAGTCAGTAATAATAAGTCGCCCCATGTGTAACTAGACCTACTTATCCTATTTTTGCCTGCAGTGAACCCATCCACTCAGTAACTGGGGTGAGCCAGCACATATGTATATTTTTCTTAGGATACTTGTGATTTTTAGCAGTTTCAGTTTAAGGCATTTAGGGGTTTATCACAGTTGGGAATTGGGAGGTGGTTAAGTCTATAATCCCAACCTGTCCGCATGGTAATATTCCATTCCAATATGTTCTTTCCCTGCTTACTGAATTCCATTTTACATTTTGAAGATGTATGTGGATAATCCTCATGTCTGGATAACATAAATTTAAAAAATCATGTAAATACAATAAAATGGCATCACTGTGACGTCAATGGAATGATGGTTAGTAGGGGTGTTGTAACAATTCCCAAATTTCAGGCTGGGGAATAAGTGCAAGTATCCGTGATTGTCAGTTTGGGTTGCCAGGGTGTATGATCCCTTCCACACTGGTAGTAAACAACCCCCGACAAAACATGGGTGCAGTATTGGGCCTCTTTGTTTTTTGAGTCTAACCTGGGTTTTGTTGTTTTCTGGTGATGGGTTGGAAACTAGAAGCAGCGCTTGAACTGCCAAACAAAAATGTTTTTGCATGTGTATGCATTTATTGTTTTTGTCCTGTTACTATCTAAGCAATTCTAAACATGTGTGTGATTCAGCATGGTGTACCCAAAGTATGTATGCATGGTTTGGAAACATGATTTAGCATGTTCCTTTTCTCATTGATTTTCGGACCATTTGAACTATAAAAACACAAATTGAAACCGAGATGGTTCCCTGAACACCCGCGTGGTATTGGCATATTTTGGACATCAATAAGTGCGCACCCCAGCCTGTTTCTCTCCACAACTATGTTTCCTGTGGTCCCCGAAGGGCTCAAACGCATGTCTCCATCTTCCACATTTTGGTAGTTTCTGTTGGTCGGAGTTATGCATGTTGAATACATGTGCTGATATTTGTTCCACAGGCTGCACCTTTGACACAACGAACACAGCACCGCCCTTACTCGACAAAAAAACCAGGCCTTTGAGGGCACCTAATCCGAAGCACTCGCAGGCGGGGAGCAACAGGGTTTCCTTTGGGTCTTTGCTGCCTCTTCTAAGAGCATTTGTTTACCATGAGCTAAAGTACTCTCGAAGAAATTTGGGTTCTGGAA